GAGTAGAAATACTCCTAGTCACTTCATGCTACAAAAACCGCGATATTAACTCCTGCCTGATGAGCCACTTGGCTCTTCTGCAGACTTTACATTTTTTACCTTACTTGGAATATATATGTCACTCACAGCCATTGCCTAAACACAAAAATTCCTAATTTGTAACTATGTTTGAAGCTAAATAAGAGTCAAAGCTGCAAAGGCTGTATTTGCAGTGAGAGGCACTCTAGCTCCAATTCAAACTATCAGTGTAAAAGTGATTGGCTGCAGCCAGGTTAACATACACTTTTGAATTCTCTCAGGGTTGTTGTTGTGACTAGAACATCTTGGGTCTTAGAGAGTTTTGATCCAAGTGATGAGTTGTAAAGACTCATTTTACTATGTTTCATTTGCCTCTGAAAAATAAACTCATTATGTCTCAGTTTTGGATTTTCAAAAGGGGTCTCAACTTCTTGGTGAATCTCAGATTTTACAATTCATCAACTCTGTGTTTGTTTTTCAGGCTTGCATGTACCTGCACTGACAATAGACATAGACATAGACAGCTTATTTTACTTAGACAACACACTTAGCTGTATAGGTAATGGTGTGTCCCATAGACTTAATAATTACGCAGAGTCTACAGGTCGCACCAGCTAGTTTACAGGTGCACCAAGAAAGTAAAATAACAAAGTAAAAATGTATGTACAATTGATTATAAATATTAAACTAAATTACCTAAGAATATAATACTACTACTATAATGATTGTAAAAATAATTCTACCTACTGTATTACATATATAAAAACCTACATGTAAGAGTGCATCAGTACAACAGCTAAACTCTTGATTCCTTTGTTGAGGACTCTCTGCAAAATATCCAGGATTCTTAACAATAAAATCTTTATTTACCACATTCTTATTATTCGATCAATACAAGACATGATTTTGCCCTCTTGAAACTGGCACTTATAACAATTAAAATAAACTAGATTACCTGCAGATCTTTTCTAAGCTGATCTTTATCCAATGCTTCCCACTCTTCAAGCTGAAAATAAGGGATTATTAGGAAGCAAAAACATTGTCAGCAATTACACATCAATCATCAATTTGATTTCTGCCAAATTTAATCATATATAATAATGTTATATTACATTAAAATAACTTTTTGGAAAATTTATCAAATTTGACACACACACCTTTTCTCCAGTACTTCCAGTAACAATTTTACAATTTTCTGGTCTTTGAATCTCACTGTCACCTTGCACTAAAACCAGTCTTCCTTTGACGACTATAACATCGTCATGTAACACTTCTGGACAAATTACTTTCTGTAAAGGGATAATCAAACTTTCCAGTCATTTTGTTTCAAATACTTATCCCCTCCCTTACTTTCCCCACCCCCTGTCCCTGGGAATTTGAGGATGTCAGGAACATATTTATTCAAGGATGCTGAGAAGGAAAGCTAACTTTAAATTTTCTCTTGGGGCCAGTCATTATTGCACTCCTTGGCTGGGTAAATGTGAGACAGCTAGATGAACAATTTCTAAGATTTCCTCCAAACAATCAATGAAAATGTAGACTGATACTGTCCAAATTGAAGAAACCAGTGGCATCAGAGACAAGGTGCAGGATAGTGCTGAATTCATAAAGATTTTTAGATCATTAGGATATTTTCTAACTTGTTCTAATGAAAGCATCACTTACCAAATCAAATATATTGGGTCTTGTCTGGTTACCAATGTGCAACAGATCATGGAATCCTTCAGTAATAACAAGAGCCATTCGTTTTCCTTTCCGTTCCAACAGAGCATTAGTAGCTACTGTAGTTCCCATCCTGATCCATTCAATATAGTTTGGATCAATTGGTTGGTCTGCTGGCATCTTTATTCCTGTTGTCTGTAAAGCAAGCAATTTAATTACTCTTGTCTTATTAAATCTACACAATTTCCCACAGGTTTTACACCCTACACTGTAAAGTTACAAAAGACCCTAGTTACAGTACATATAAACTAAATAACTTTGTTTAGAGAGGAAGCCACATCAGCCTTAGCTTGCTTCCATACCTGCAGGTCCTCTATCCAGGTGGAATTTGGAATTTGGAAAGTTTGGTTTTCAGGAGGGAGGAAAACCCATGGAGCAAGGTGAGAATGGCAACAACAAACCCAACCTACAGATGACACCAGAGCAGAATTGACCCTGGGCCACACTGGTGGGAGGCAAGTGCTCTCACCACTACACCATCCCTGCTAGTTATAAATCCTGCTAAAGTAGCTACGATGAAATTAGTAAATTCAAAAGACCACCACCACCTATAAGGCACAAAAATATAATAATATCAAAGCAACGGATGTTTAAAGCCTTGATAACGTAACCATTGAATTGAACGTGCAGTTCCAGAAAGTATCATCCATACCCACACCACCACCATGGAAGGTCATTGGAACCTTGGAAGGGAGGGGAGGTGTCAAATGCCGACATTCTGGGGAGAAAGTATAAAGCTTGAACTGGAATTCCAGTGAGGTGGGGGAGTTCAACTCAAAAAACCTTGTGTGGGAGGTAAGGAGATAATATTGCATTACCACATGACCGACTCAATCAAAACACAATGTGCACAAACACATCATGATAAATATTTCTATATTCCACGTTTCATTTTTTCATCATTTCATTACGGAGGAGAGAGACAAGTATCCAGATCATGTCTACTAAAGGCATCCACAGTCGAGTGTTGATCGATACCCTTAATCAATACTCCAGATTGACACTCAATCGACCCTCAATCAACAATCAATTGATATTTGATGGACACTCCATTTGACACTTGATCAACACTCATTCAACCTCTCGGTTGACAGTCAGTTGAGAGTCGATTAATTTTCAGGCGATGCATATAAGTCGGTCAACACTTGGCCAAATATCGACTGACTATTGATCGAGTGTTGATCGAGTGTCAATCAAGATGTTGATCAAGTGTCCATTGAATGTCAGTCAAGATGCCGATCAAATGTCGATCAAGGGTATTGATCGAGGGTATCCATTGACACTCGAATGGGGATGCCTCTAGCACACATCATCCAAGTATCCTACAAGACTGGGTAGAGGTGTGTTTCTGGATCTCCTAAACACTTACCCTGTATCAGACCACAAGTATATTGATTGTATCAATAATACCTTCTGATAATCTATTTTATTGACTGGGCATACTGGGAACATCCCATCCAAGGGTAGTTACAATGTGTTGTTCCATCCAGGGCTTTTTGGTTTGAAACCCCCTTCTCCATCCCTCTGGAGATTCCAGGTTTGGTTCATATGTTCCATGAAAAATTTTGGCTTTTGAAATCCCCCACCTTGGAGTGGGTATGGATGTTTTCTGGAACCAAACAATATCCCTAGCCACTTCATTCTACAGAGCCTAGTTAAATACCACAGACCCAGTTGTTCAAAGGGTGGATAACACTATCCACTGGACAAATCACTATCCAGTGCATAACTACACCATCCACTAGACAGTGTGTTGTCTGCCCTTTGAACAACTAGAGCCAGACTGACAAGCTTTAACCTTTTCTTCCTCCTTCATGGCTCATTATTGTGTCTCAGTCTCTCTTATTAATGCAAGATTCAAAGCTGTTGTCCTGGATAATTAAATTTCAAATCGATTTCTGGTACCCTGGTCACGTGACAAACTTTCCAGTTTGGGCGGCTGAAATTATTATTTTTTCTACCGAAGCCCAATTTCTGATTAACAGCGCTTTACCTGCTCCAGAATTCTTCTTATTCCTTCCCTTGGAGCATCGGGATATGCAGGATCCACAGACAGCAGCTTCATCACCTTTACCTCTCCGTTTGGACATTCTGAGTAAACGTCTGTGAAAGTGCCGCCTCGATCGATGGCAAACCTGAACTTGTCACGGTTATTATTCTGCAATTCCTGCCTATCTGACATCTTTAAAATTCAGAGTTACTGCAAGAATATTGTCTCTAAATGAATACTTAATCAGTAAAGACAGCAGCTTTCACAAATTATCGCTAGAACATGGTTAGTGTTTAGCAAAAAACACAACACATTGTTTGTTGCTTGCGTTCTTTTATACGTTTGGAGCAAGTCGCGTGACCTTACGTCAAACCCCCTACTCTCTCTACGTCATAGCGCGTGGCAAACACGAGATCACGCAACAATCAAACGACTTTTTCCCGGGAAAAGGTGTTCCACTTTGAAATTTATACCCCTCTTTCCAACGCGAATAAAAAAAAACTGCATCAAGGCACATGGACCACATGGCTTTAACATCAAGACAGAAAAAAAGATGGTTGAATTATAAGAAGGTGAAATTCGAGGTAAATATTCCCGACAAACAACTCGAAGTAAAAACAAACTCGTGATTTTAAACAATAGGTATTATTTTCATCGTACGATCAAGGTCTCGTGCAATTCAGATTTAAAAATAACACAGGTAACTTGACGCGTTTAATTTTTTTGTTTTTCGATATGTGATGGGGCTCAAATCCTTAGAAAAGATGTACCATTTGTAATTTGTTTTGTAATTTAATTGTTAGCTTGCTCTGTGATGGTGCTTGGATAAAAAAATTCTCATAAAAAAAATTAACTTAAAAAGTTCAATGAGTGTTTCCAACTGGTGAGTCACATGACCTACAGGTGAGACCAATGTCAGCCATAAGAAGAATGGGGACAGATGCATTCTTGTTTAGTGTTTCTCCCTGTTTTTCTTTGGCCTCAGGTAAGCCTTGATACAACCTGTGCAGGCTAGGTGCTACTCTCTCAATAGCTTCCTTTAATATACCATGATATCAAAGGTGGCAGGGGGGAGATAAGGAAATAATTTGGTCTATCTACACAAAGGAATCTCAGGTTAGCGCTAACTGCATGCGTTAGAAGCGGCACTAACACTTAGTAAGTAGAATGAAAAGTACACTTTTTCAACAGAACATGGCTTCCACTGTTTATTTGCCATAAACTTAACTTACTCTCTTACAATTAGAGAAAACAAGATAAAGTGAACCCCAAAAGGAATTGAATGCTCTTAACTTTGACAATATCAAATGTGCATCTCTCTAGTGTGAAGGTAGTCAGTGAAGCTAGCTTGCAGCCTGTTGTTCACTTGAAAATCAGAAAGCATAGTACAAGCCAAACACCTTCTTGTCCATACCACCTTTTTGCAGACAAGTTCAAAACTTAGATTGCCTAAATAACCATTTACAAGAACTACATTTTCATTAGACATTAGAGAACATTTTTAAATTTGTCCTTCAAGAACTACAACTGTGATGTGCTAATTGAAACATCATTCTTACTAGCTCCCCCAACAACAAAAACTTCTTAGTAGCATGATTAACTGATTTAAAATCAAATCAATGCAATAATTTCATCTCTTACAGTGTACAGTAATTCGTGCTCATCTGTAATTTTAATTTCCTCAAAACATTTGCCTGGGAATTTCATTTGTCAGGTAAGTGAAGGGCAGAATCCTCTAGCCTGGACGATCAGACACAAGTTTCTTTGCATGACTTTCTTAGACATAGCACTCAGAAATTGCAGGCCTTCTTTCTTAGCATTCTTTGCTTATATACAAGAGGAATAAAATTCAAAAGCTTCAAGTTTCTCAAGCAGCTGTTTGCTCTCTAATCTTTACTGAGTTAGCATCTTTCTCAGGACGGGCGATGAATATTCCTTTTCATCAGGTTTTTCTTTCTGTTGCTCAGTGATTATTTGGACAGTTTTTTCTTCAGAGCCCACCACTGCTTGGCCTGTTTCCTCATGAGCAATGAACTCAACTCGAGACCACATGCCAGTTCTACTGGACTCAATTATGGCATCAAGAACGGTACGTGTATATAGTCCTGAAAAAAAAAATTTGTACAATATACAAAAATCAGAGATCCCAACCTAAACAAAAAATTGAAAACCAGGAGATCACATTTTTACAGTCTTGACCATAAAAGTTGTTAAAAGTGGAAATCCAAAGATTCAACCAGGAAAATACATCAAATATCAGACATTTTCTACCCAAAAGGCCATAAACTGGCAAAAATAAGTTTGAAAACGCACTCTACTAAGCAATTTCTTTCATATCCAGGGGTTTCATTGACGTTTTCAGCAGGAGGGTAACCGGCTGGGAGGGGGCGTGGGTTACACTGTTATGTACCTCCCATGGGTAACTGGTTTTTACAGGAGGGCAAAACTTTTTGAACTGAACTTCTTTGTAAGAAAAACTATCCTCCAAATTGCCAAACAAGGCAGGCAAAACCATCCTCACAGCTGGTCAATTTGTCCGGTGGCCTGCCCTTAATGAAACCCCTGCATATCCAGATGATTCAGTGATCTGTACAGGCTGCAGGATTTGGTCAGTATCTAGGAGACTCCCAGAGAATCAGAGAGAGTTGGCATGAATGAAAAAAAAAATCAGTCTTGGAACATGAAAGCATACATGAGCAGGAAAAATAGCTGAGTTGATAATGCTCTGTTTGATTAAGAAAGCCATTTAGTGTCCGGTCACTCCAAAAGAGGCTATATCTTATCCAGGTATTTCCAATCTGTTCTATGTATTTCTGGTGCTTTTGAACTCATTCAGATTCTAAAATCACTTGTGCAAATTTGAAGTAGAACATCCTAAGAGGCAGTGACCAAAATAAGAATTTAAATCCCTTAAAGGTATAATGTCAGAACACCCACATTAGTGACTCCCACGGCCCGACCACTGGTTTTTTAGACACAAGTGAGCGTCATGACACCCTCACACAAAAAGAAGTTGTTAATAATTATTATATGTACTAACCATCTTCAAATGAAGCTGCACTTGAAATAGTTTGCAAGTCCGCAATCCTCCGATCATCTTTGTCAATGGACTCTTCAAATGCCCTCTTTATCTCTGATACCCAGCCTTCAAGACCTGTCAAAAATATACTGGGTGGAAGTTTTTCCACACTAAACAAGCCTGGAATGCGAGCAATATCACCATATATAAGTTCTTCTTTGCTGCCATTCTTCATTCCATATAAGTTGCCATTCCTGGCAATCAGCTGCCCTTTACTGCCATAAATGGTAATAGTTTGGGAATAACGGCCAGGAATGTGGGTGTTAAGCGAGACAGTAGCAAAAGTACCGCCATTCAGTTTGATCTGAAAGGCAGTATAGTCATCACTGGAGATGTGCCTAAAGCTTGATACACTATCTGTTTGAGTGATGAAAGTCTTTAAAGTACCATGCACTTCAACTGCCCTCTGATTGGTCAAAAACGAGATAATGTCGATGACGTGAGCTCCAACATTGGTTAGTACACCACCCCCCATAGCCTGGTCGCACATCCAGTTGTAGCGGTTACTCAGCAAAGAGCCCATTTCGATCTTGCACTCACAGATTAAAGGTTCCCCGCAGAAGTCCTCCTCTAAATATTGCTTCATCTTAATAAAGGCTGGCAGAAACCTTAGCTCGTGTCTGATCAGAGAAAGAAGCTTAGGATAATACTGAGCTGCATTCACCATCCTCACCGCTTCCTCTCTGCTTAAACCCGCGGGAGAATCACACAAGACGTGTTTTCCGATAGAAAGAGCTTTCACCGCCACTTCAGCACGAACGTGGGGTGGACAAAGCACGCACACCAAATCCACGTCTTCTCTCAGGAGTAACTCGTCTATTTTGGACGTGTGAAATGGAACTTTGTACTCATCCGCCATCTCCTTTGCTTGTTGTTTTGATGCACCCCATATGCCACTCACCGTAAAACCAGCTGAACGCAGAAGCGGTAAGAGTATGCGCGAAGAATTTCCCGTGTCAACTACACCAACAGAAGGTAGCATTTTGAACACTTACAGAATATTAACTCGCTAGAAGGTCAAGGAGCAACACTCATTTGCAGCCGTGAAGCGCCATCTTGATTTTCGCTCGCATTGGCTGGAGACTGGGTCTGCATTTGACACTCCATCCCACTCCCCCTCCAGTAGCTTGCGTAGAGAGGGAGAGAGAAGGGAAAAAAGAGAAGCGCGAAACAAAGGGAGGAGTGGAGGGAGGGGAACACCTGCAAGGCCGCTTTTCCAGGCCCTAATTAAGTATGCGAAACACAGAAAGCTCTGAAATGTCTGACTGACAAAATCACGTCACTTTTCAGCAGTTCTCCGGCGGGTTCTCCTGTTTCTTGTTTTTCTCGCCTGCTTGCCGCGAGAAAATGGCATGGTATAAATAATGGCATAATCACCTCTTACCGTTTTTTATTTGTTATTTTACTTTTCAGAAACCACCCGTAAAAAGAAGGTCTCCAAACACGATAAAAGAGACCAAAATTAAACTAGGATGAGAGAAGCAAAACCTGATTTAATTTAACAAATGTATCCTTAATCTTTGGCAATCTACAAATCAATAGGTCACAAATGTGGACCTAATTCCGTGTAACAAAAATCTCTGCCACAGTTAGTTCGTGTGGTTGATGGCAAAGCTGTTTACTTATTCAAAATTTCCCATCAGGGAAATTACAAGTATTACTGAAGCAAAACTTTGAAGAGGATTGAAAACACATCGGCTGACTGACAGAGTCAAGTGGATATAGTTTCAAACTTGGTTAGATGTCACGAGACTATGGCCATGGAGTATCTTTCCGAATATGGTCGAGGTCAGTTGAGCGTTTACAGCTTTTCTCAGGCTACATGTATTTGAGAAACAAGATACCAAGAACTAGGTTTCACAATTGAATAGAAACACGCTAGTTGGTTTTTCTGACTTACTCAAATTCGTTTCATCGCATTTGTCAGCTACATTAGTGAGAGATCCTTCCTTGAGATTAACTATAACTGCATAAGAAGAATGATCGCCTTTGCTTGGCAGCCCCATGATCAATGTTGAGCGTGAATTTGTCTTGATGATGCTGATTTGAACGTCAATATTTTGTATTATTTTGCTTTTGGGTCCAGAAATTGCGAGTAAGGAAAATGTTTGTGTTGAGGAACATTTGACTCTACTCAAGTACAATAGGCCCTTTGCACGATCCGGTCACATGATACGGAATTAATTATGTTGGGACGCAAGTCTTCAAAAAAAAAGGAACTCGTACCGGTCCAGCCCGACTTTCCTTTGTTTTAAAAGTCCCACGGTGTAATTTGCGTCCCAGAATAATTAATGCCGTATGATGTGACCGGATCGTGTAAAGAGCCTATTTGTCAGGAAATTGTCCTACCAATCTCGCTTTAATCACATCTCCAAGAAGCTTTAGACAGGTGCCTTAATAGTGAACTTGGTTTCCTTCACCCTACTGATGTATTAAAAAGTGTGACTAGTTCGCAATGGTTGCATTTTTCCTCTTGCATTTTGCATTTTGCATCTTGGTGGAAGATATATCCTCGTCACAACAACTGGCACGACTGGCACACTAGTTATTTGGATATCACAACAGTTGCAATCTACAAATTCCCATGAAACGTCAGTATGAAGACAAGTGTGGCCACGTGTCCGAGGAGCTTTAGCTTCTCATCGCCACTGCTGCTAAACACTCCAATATACATAAAGGCTGAAAGAATTTCCATACCTCTAGACTTTTAGATGATGCCGGCAGTTACTTAACTCAGTGGCCTACCTGAGGAAAATGAACTTTTTTTCCTGATATTCTTAAGTCGCCGCTCGTTTTCTTATCTTTAGCTTTGTCGCCTTTCTTCTTCCTTTTCTTTTCGTCGTCCTCTTCCTCCTTCTCCTCTTCTTCCTGCTCCTCTTCTTCTTCTTCTTCTTCTTC